ACGACTACGACGGGGAGCAGGACGAGGACTGTGAGGCGCTGCTCTGCACCGCCGCCATGCTGCACATCTTCCGCTCCATCCCCACGCAGATGGTAGGGCAGCTGCCGTGGGACGGACGGCCGTGCCCGGGCCCTCGTCCTCCATTATCGCTCCTGGCGACATGTAGCGTTCCCCTTCCTCCGTGCGGTGTTGGCAGCTGGGCGCGAGGAACTGCTGATGGGGCTGCGGTGTATAGTTTTACTCCGTGTAATTTCGATTTTTTTTGCTCTGAAAAGTCGAGCTTTGATGTGCTGTAAAATGAACGTTATACAGCTGTGCAGGGGAAACCCCTCTATATTTTTCTGTCTGTGCTATATACTGCCAGAAGGCAAACTGGTTTGCCTTCTGAGAGCCATGTTTTCTGAAGCCACGCCAACACAGGTGACATACATATTGTATCTTCTCAAGCTTGTACTCTCTTTTGTGGTGTTATGGCTCTTACATAGTGATATCAGGCTAACTGCAATGCTATTTTGAACTTGCATTACTTATCCTGAACAGACAGTGCTTCCTTTAATTTTAGATGATGTGGTCAAGACTGTAGGGGAGGTGTTAAGTGAATTAAGAGCTTAATTCTTTTACACTTAAAATCCATACGCTGTAAGAAAAATAATTCCAGTCTGATTTGAAAGTTGAGCAAAAAAGCTGAGAACCGGTGGTCAGGCTGACTCTAGGCTCTAACCTGAAAGGGTTTAACTGGCAGGTTTGTGTTTTGGGTAACTGACAAAAAAATATCTCTTTCCCCAGGACTACAAGGGCCAAAAATTAGCAGAACAGATTTTTCAAGGAATCATTCTTGTCTCTGCAGTAAGTATACTAGAACTATGGGTGATAACATAAAGGACTTTATTTTGTTTTCTGATCTTACCAACACTGGTTTTTTTTTTCTGATTGTTTGGCTTAACTGGGTCACTAAAAGCTTTAGGCAAAACCTGAGGGGCTGTCATGGATTAAGACTTTTCTGTCAATGTTTCATTTTTGGCCTACAATTTTGAAACAAGGTTAGAAAGATGTATGAACTGTGCTTTTGAAAAACCTGTAGTTTTCTACTTAACTTCTTACCCCCACCCCCCAACTTAACCATAGTATGGGAAATGTTTTTGTTTGTTTAAAGTTTGATTTTTTTTTTTTTAAGATAATTGGTTTCATCTATGGATACATCACTGAACAGTTTGGATGGACTGTCTACATAGTTATGGCTGGATTTGCTTTATCCTGTTTGGTAAGAATTTTTTTTCCCAAACCAGAAAATACATGCACTATTTAATCTGAAATAATCATTAAATTATGGGGCTGTCAGCACAGACAAATGTGTGCTATGTAATTCAGGCTGTTAATACATTGTTAGTACTTTCTTTGATCTGTAGAAAGTGCTTTACAAGCCAGTAAGTACCTTTTCTCAAATGCTAGTAAGATTTTAGGGAACACTGTGTTTTAATACCGCTACGTAACATTGAATTAGTTTTTCATTTCAATTAGATGTTACTTTTAGGTCAAGCTGATAGCCTTACTGTCCTTTCTGTTACCAGTGCTTTCTGTAGAGTGGTAGCTTGTCATGAAAATTTTGCAGCTGGCCTATGCTGACTGGGGAGAGAGGCTAGGACGCAAAGTATAGAATTACAAAATTAATTCCTTATTCATGCACAAGGTGTCCCGTTCCAACTGGGGCACACCAAATGCAGTTTTACACATGGTTCTTACTGTATCTTTCAAGTGTTCAGATACAACATGATTTGACCAATCACTACTTAACACACTACTGTTTTGAAAAGCCACTATGGCATTATCATCCATCTGCTTCTTTCTTGATCTAAATGTCCCTGGAGTCGGTCTTGGCTACAGTTACTTACCTGTGATGCCAGATAATGGGAGGGTTTCACAGAGGTGTTAGAGGGGCTGGGATGCTGGCATTACCTCGGTAGTCCAGGGGTATCCTTTTTTCTTCAGAGTGGGTGCTGATGTCCTTTAGTCATGCTTACTTAAGCATGACTATGCAGTATACAATGTAGACTATCTCTGTCTTTATAGTATGAAATTGTATGAACTTTCTGAAGACTAACTGGTATAATAGTTAGGGAATGAGATTTTCCTAACAAGCGGTACAAAACACTTATCTAGTATCTTGATTTACATGTTCTGACTTCATTTCTTTTCTCTAAGCTAACACTCCCTCCGTGGCCTATGTACCGCCGTAATCCACTGAAGTGGCTACCTGTCCAAGAGTTGGGAACAGAAGAAAAGAAACCAGCAGACAGAAAGCCAAAGAGACATGCTAAAAGCTAAACAATGTGGTTCTTCATGCTGATGCTTGGTTAAATTTTGTTAAATGCACTTCCACTGGGAGATACTTCTTGGCTTAGTGTTCGGTTTTTTTCTCACTACTTTGTATACTACCATGAGTGCACCAAGATATGCAGAGAGCATGAAGGCTCTCTAAATTTTGGCTGGGGTTTCAGTAAAGTCACTGGGAAGGTGGGTGTGGCGGGATTAACTTCAGAAGGCTACTGGAGGTCACGTCTCACTCAAGTATTTCAGTAAAAAGGAACACAGCAAATCGAATCAGGTCTAGTTCAGCTGTTGCCATAGCCTAAAAGATAATATACAGCTGGACTTCTAAAATATTTCTAACTGTGTATAAAACAAGCTATCAGTAGTGTCAGGTTGTAACAAGTACTGTAAAACAGTACATAGAAATCATAGAATTGTTTAGGTTGGAGAAGACCTTTTAAGATCATCAAGTCCAGCCATCAGCCTAACACTACCAAGTCCACCACTAAACCAATTACGGCTAGAGTAATAATTAATTTCATGTTTCCTGGCTTGGTGGCTGGATTATTTTTTAATGAAAGTAAAAACCAGGAATAATTAAGGTTAGAAAGGACCTCTAAGATCATCAGTCCAACCATCAACCCAACACCACCATGCCCACTTAACCATGTCCCAAAGGGCCACATCTACCCATTTTTTGAACACTTCCAGGGATGGTGACTCCACCATCTCTCTGGGCAGCCTGTTCCAATGCTTGACTACCCTTTCTGTGAAGAAATTTCTCCTAATAACCAATCTAAACCTCCCCTGACGCAGCTTGAGCCCATTTCCTCTCATCCTATTGCTAGTTACTTGGAAGAAGAGACCAACACCCACCTCACTACAAGCTCCTTTCAGGTATTTGTAGAGAGCGGTAAGGTCTCCCCTCAGCCTCCTCTTCTCCAGACTAAACAACCCCAGTTCCCTCACCGCTCCCCATAAGACTTGTTCTCCAGACCCTTCACCAACTTCATTGCCCTTGACACCCTCCATCACCTCAATGTCTTTCTTATGCTGAGGGGCCCAAAACTGAATACAGTTCTGAAAAATGCTAAGAATTGAAAAGTGTTCTAGGAAAGGAGATTAGAGTAGCGTTTTTTGTTTAAAATAAATTTGCCTGGGTAGAGAAAGTAATATCTTGACTGCATAACACAATAGTTCATGAAACCTTTTAACTTGAGCATCTAGTATGTGAAAGGCAGCAGTATCCACAGGTATTGCACTTTTTTACTACTGACTGTTATGTTAGTCTCCCTCATAGGTGCTACAGGTTACAATATTTAAGCTAGAGGTAGGGGAAGAGACAGGTTGTGCATTTAAAATTTTATTTTACAAATTCAATTCCCTTTCAACTTCTTTATCCTTTAAAAAGGACACGTGCTTTTTCTGTAGTGATGGTACATGACAATGCCTGGGCATGTGTAGCAACACAATCTAGATGCAAAGAAAGGAAAAAGCTAAGGCGCCTGTTTCTCTAAGTGACCCTGATCTTGGGCACTTTCATTCCTAAAAGGAATTAGTATTTGTAAAGGAAAGGGATTTCTCCAGCTGGGACCATGGTAACCATGGCTCTGTTCCTTTCAGACATTTTCAGACTTACTTTATCCAGTTACCAAATACTTTCCACCACCTTGGTGACTGCTTTAGCAATAAGACACAAAAGCAAAGGCTCTGCTTAAAAGTAGTACAACCACCCCCTTTAGCACTTTAACTTGGCAATTTACAGAACCTGGAGGGTTTTTGGTGCTACAAAAATCAGTAATTGTTTCTGCCTGCTATATTTTCACAACTATTTGATGTAATAGCTTATAACCTATCACACCATAGCCTTGGCATAGATTTTGTTACTGTATTTAGTATATAACCATACCCAAAACCTTTGCTATGACAAATTCAAATGAAAACTTTTTTTTTTTTTTTGACACTCCTTTGTATACAAAACTTGGTACCCATCCTTCTTTGCATCTATAAAAAGCAACTTTTTAAAGTTTCATCAAAAGAATAAAAACTAAACAGTTTCTCTTCTGAGAAAGTGATAGCCTGGTTCACTTTTTAACATGAAAAAAAATACTACTACAAACTATAATGTTTTTTGCAAGTTCACCTCCTTATTCCAGCAAAGGAGGTCAACAGATAAACGTGCTTTGTAAGCTGGTCCAATCTATCAAATGAGATATAAAACAGTCCTCTTCTCTAAGGAAAAAGTTCTGGTCAGAGCTTCACATTTTCTTCAAGAAATTTCAGATGGCGTGCCTTCGCACTGTAACTTGCATACTTGTCTCCCATATGCTCCCGCAACTGCAGCTATTTAGAACAGACAAAACACACCCACAAAATTTATTCACATTGAAAAAAGCAGGAACTACCAAAATGTTAACAAAAAAAAATAACAAAGCACTCAACTGAAAGCAGCATGTGAAGTTTGACAACACAGATGGGAGGGAAGAAAAATGGAAGAGTCTGTGTTGTCTGAAGGCAAGAGAGTTCCAAATCCCACCCAACAATTTAAAATATAAATCAGATCTTCACAGGTTATACTTACCTATGCAGTATTTTATTTGTAACCAAGTTTTGAATAAAAAATGCTGGAGGTGTTGCTCACTCACCTCTACTAGGAATAAACATTAAACTGTTTCTCACTTTGGACATAAAGGGCATTAGGCAAAGTAACGTGAAAATAAAAAATACGGTTCAAAAGAAATTATTATAGGAGAAATACCACAGAGTAAAATTATTTGCATCCTTTGCATCTTCCACAAACTCAGGGACCATGGTACAATTCTAAAGCTCCTATGCCTTCTGAAGAATTTGTGGTTGAACACAGTCCACGTTCAGAATCAGACTTTTTAAGATTGAAAATAACAATACACTTAGGCCTTTGCCTGCCAATGACTACATAAAGACCTTCTGGAATCAAGCTTTGCACTGCTATATCAACATCTAAAAAGGAGGTGGGAGTGAAGTAAAGACACTGCTCATTTATCTTGGTTTATACGGAAATTAAATAATTTCAATATGAAAGACATTCACCTCTCTTTTCACTTCATCATCTTCTTCCATGATGCTGTACACCTTCTCAAGAAGTTTCACTCCCAAACCTTGCACCACATCAGATCTCAGGATTTCAACCATTCTCCTAATCTTATCAGGAAATGGTAACATATCTAGTGGAAGGGAAAAAAAAAATCAATGCAGTAATAATTACTTTCAGTATAGCCAATTTTCATACTCTATGCAGAAGAAGAATACGGGACAACATTGTAAGTATTACCACAAAATTCCAGCTGACCATTTGCATGAAATAACTGTTTATCTGAACTCGCTAGCTAGAATGGTCAAGAAACTTGGTGAATCAGAAGCACTCACATGCTAACTCTTAAGACGCTGGACAGTACAAAGTCAATGCAGACAGTTTCTACAGTTAGGTCCCTGTAATTTCATTTCAGGTGGTTCCTGTATACTGTATTACAAATATTGTTTGAACAAAAAGTACTATTCTCTAATACTACATCACCACCCAAATATTTGAATAATTCAATCACTTCTACTTACAGCAAATGCAAAAAGTAATCACTGTAAAACACTAATGGCATCATTTCTGCCATCTGCCTGTTTGTCTCTTTGAATCTTTTGCTCCTCAGCTGAAGCTGCCAACAAGAGGTAGTAATTCTATAAGCAGAAGCCTCCATTAGGAACTGACCCGAGAACACTAGCTTGCTCTTTTAATCACTGAAATCACCAACACTCCTTCCACAGGATGGATCACCTTCTGAAAATAAAATATCTGACCTAACTAAAGTAAGTTTCAGCTTAGAAATGCAGTAGCCCTGTCATCCCAAATGGTAGTTAAGTAAATAGCTGGAGGATCTCACTATACAATACTTAAGGGTGAGAAAAACAGACAGAAAAAAGAATACCACTGAAATTTGTACCTTCAACATTCTGTCATACCTGTTCAGAGACGAACTCTTTCAATGTATTTTACTTTAGCTATGCAGAATCAACTTACCAGAGTAAAATCCAGTGTTCTCCCATTGCTTTGCCTATCACCAGACTAGTTACAAGTAGAATCCTTATCATTTAAAACAATAAACACAAGAAGGTCAGAGACTTAAAAAACCTACCCTCCGCTTTTTCACTTATTCTTGTTGCATAGCAAGTGCAGTCATAGCAAATACAATTTTTTCTTGCTTTTTGGAATACCTATACAGAAGGTCTAAACCATACCTTAAACATGAAAAATGATTCAAATCTTGCACCTGTATCTGTAGGAAAAATAAGCTTGCCCAAATTCTGCAATGAGGATGAACTACTATACTTGTACAAATTTCCACTGTGTTCAATGCTTTGTGTACAATTTCAGCTTTATCCATAATTCACACAGCTTTACAACTATCAAATAATTTGAATGCCTTAAATATCTTATTTCAAAATACTCCACACCAGCTATTCATTTTGGAAGCTTCTAAGTGTAAGTCACACGGGGAAAAATCATATTGCAGACCAGCTTCCTCTCTTCATTAATAATTACACAGATTGATCAAACATTCCTTTCATTGGCAAGTAAACCACAACTAGAGCAGTTTTGCACACAAAATTATTTAGAAATATGTTTACTTCTGTAAGCATTGTTGAGACTTGACAAGAAATGAGTGGATTGTCTTCTGTTGCCCACTAGCAGGTTTTCTTTTGCTACTAGCAGTTGACAACAATAACAGAGCAACAGACCTGAAGAAATCTCTTCAAATTTTAATTCCTCTGATTCATCAGGTGATTTCCCATGCAAAATCAAAGTGTCTCGATATTTTCTATGAAGTTTAAACTCTGGGGCTGGAGTCGAGGTTACATAGTATTCAGAGTTCTCCTTAGAGTCCATTTTCAGCGTCCATGTCATTAGCTGCACCAAGTCATTCATTTCATTCATATTGCTTTTTCTAGTAGAGGAGAAATAAGATGTAATTCAGTCACCATTCATG